TGAGAGGGACTGCCCCATGCCAGCAGTCCTTGGCCAGATTTATACTCCCTCCCTCCAGACCCATCACCAGATGGCCGTGAGTTAGTCAGCCCGGTCAGCAAGGGGAAACCGTGACAGCCGGGCTGACTCCCTCTGGCCCTGCAACACCATTTCATGCCTGTGCTGGGACAAAGCATCCAAACCCCTCATCCTGCTTGGCAGTGAACTCGCTGCAGGTACGGGACGTTGTGTAGCTCACCTGGTGCGTGTGAAACTTCCTTGTGCCCCCCCACTAACCTGGCATGTCTCTGCTTCTGTTAAGATCCTGCCTGCTCTCCCCTGAGCCTCCCACCTGAAAGCATGGTTGAAGAGGAGAAATCAAACCACTTGCCAGTGCTGAGGAGACTTCTGGGCGTGAGCCCCTCGGTCGCCAGCCACAGAACAGGGCTGGAATCTGGCATGGAGAGTGGCACGTCTCCATTGTCTGAAATTGCTTGTCGGCAACAAAACAAAGGTTCAGCAAATCCAGAGAATGTTTAAATCACTTATCAAAAAGACAGAAACAAAAGCAATCCCATGCAGTGCCCAGGCTGGCACCCTTTTCTCGGGGGGATGGCTGGGCACCTTTTCCCTAGATTTTTACCCTGAACCCAGCCCCACACAGAGCTGCATCTCTCCCCTGAGCAGCCGTGTCCCCTCCCGTGTGTACCCTAAGCCCACTCAGACCTCTCTGACCGTCCTAGCTGGCCACCAGGGCAGGGTGTGTTAAATCCCGACACTTGCCGACCAGCCCAGTGACAGCACATGCTCCATCCCGACATCCAAGGTTCTCACAAAAGCCTGCGTTCTGACCCGTGCTCCCCCTTCCAAGACACAGAAGTAGCACATTTTATCTAATTTGTTAGCCGATTTTTTTAAATCCAGAAAGCATTTTAAAGCCCACCCTATCCACCCCCTTTTTCCACAACTCATAGCTAAACAGCAAAGCCAGCTCACAGAGAGGGACAGAGGCCTGGAGACCTACACCGACACACAGCTGGCAGCCACCAGCCTGGCTGGTACGGTCACAGTGCTGCCTGCTGTGGTCCTCTCAGCACAGGCCCAGCCCCAGCCCCACCCAGGTGAGGAGCCCTTGGCAGCGAGGAGGCCCCACTGCAGAGCGAGACCACAGCCCTGTGCACACCCACTCACCCTGGGGGCTGGCAGGACTGGAACCAGCCAGCCACCAAGCACAGCAGGGGCCCACCCCACAGGGTCAGCTCTGTGCCTCAGCAACAGAGTGCCTGGGAGCGAGCCAGGAAAATTCCATCCTCTGCCACTGTGAGGCGGTGATGTGGTGAGCAGCAACACCATGGCAGCCCTCAGGGAGAGCCAAGCTGCTTAGCGCCTGGCAGCCAGGAAGTAGAAGAAGGAGAAAGAACCGGACAGGAAGGGGCAGGGGACCAGATGCAATCCCAAGGCAAGCCCCAGGATGCCCTCCCTTCTGCAAGGCCCACCTGCCTCCACCCCCTCCCATGGGGCCATCAAATCACCACTGCACCATGGATCCATCCAGGATGATGTCAGAGCACTGGGCCCCAACCTCTCCCCAAAGGCCCATCCCTAATCAAGCCTTGTGAGCGCATTACCCCCAAACCATGACCACCACCCCACCAGAGAGCACAGCCTGTGTTCACCGAACCACAGGCGACTATGGGGCAGCCCAGGGGAAGGGCCGCAGTTCACCCAGCTGGAGACCCACGCCACAGAAGCCCATCCAGAACCTGCACTGCTAGGCCTGAATGAGGCCACACAAAGGCCAAGGAATGGATAAGAGAGGCGCAGAAATCGGGGAGACTGACAGCACCACAGGAAGTATACAGACCCCTGGCAACAGCGTCCAAAAGGAAGCTCTGTGGACTGAGAACAACACTCTTTCTGAAGTTCGGCGGACCACAAGGAAACCCAGGCTCCAACTGGAAAACAACAAATGATCCCAATGGGAAGTTTAATAAAACACAGCCATTAAAACAAAAAACAAAATCCCCAAACCAGGAGTCCTAGAACTGAAAAACACAAAGACAAAGCTTAATTTAATACAGCGCTTCAACCAAAGACTTACAGACTGAAGAATCGACCTCATCTGATATTCTCCCAGCCAGAGCGGGGAAGAAAAGAGTGAACAGGGCCTAGAAGACGCAGTGGACCCACCAGGCTTGGGTATGGCAGAACGCAGAGATAAAGGGACAGGAAAACTGTTTTAAAAATTAACGGATGACGTTGGTGTAGAGACCAAAGTTACTCCATTTTGAAAAAGGAGACCATCTTGTGTAGAGTCTGACCCGTGGGTGAACTTAGGCTGAAAGAAATTGGTTAGTCTAGAAAAAGCACAACGAGATGGGTGGGAAAGAAAACATAACCTTGCAAGAGAGAAGAGAAACAGAATGTACAGATCAGAGGAAGGGGTAAAGGAACACACTGACCTTCCACTGAAACTGCCCCCTCTTAGATTCTAGCCCCTTCCCACTTTTGCCTGCCCACTTTCCCAAGTTCCCCAACAACATCCAATAAATGTAAGATATAGAATATAACCAATAAGAAAGAAGGAGAATTTCAAGCCCCCTACACCCTGTAAGAGGAGGGTCTGGAAGTTAGTTGTGGCTCTTGTCACTGAACCACTGCACCGGTGAGTCCAAGCTCGAGCTTGTAATAAACTCGTGTATTTACATTGGACTCGACTCCTTGGTGGTCTTTGGGGATATCACGATCTGGGCACAACATTGGGACCGGGGATTTAGCTCAGTGGTTCCGCTGCCTGCCTTGCAAGTCCAAGGTCTCAAGTTTGATCCCCGATATCCAAAAAAAAAAAAAAAGGGCTGAAAACTCCCCAAATTTGGGGAGAAAATGGATATTCAGATCCATGAGACCCAACCTGCCCTAAAAGGTTGATCTCAAAAAGGTTTATATTGTGCCTGCATTCCCAGGTAAGTGCCGGGGTCTAATGCACAGCATGATGACAATAGGTCTTAAACGTCTAACCAACCAAAAGTAAAAACCAGACAAATCAAAACAAATACAGCGCAAAATTTTGAGATGGTCCATGTGCTAACTAACTGAGCTGTGCGATCATCTCACAGCACAGGTAAGAACCAACTGCATCACCCATGCAGCTGTATTTGTTAAACAGACCTCAGGAAGTGGGGGTAACACCCACAAGGCCTGGCCCTCAAACTGCCCTTTCTTTAAAGAGAGTAGCAGCAGCCGATTGTGAAGCCACAGCTGAAGACCTACGGGTGCCACGTGGGCCGGAGGGTGGCAGTCTCCTCCAGTTTCATGTTCTAATGGCAGAACGGGATCCCAGGGAGAAACCACACCACCACAGCCCCCAGACCAGCAAGACAGTCAGCCACCTGGCCGGGTGCCCGGCTCCTCCAGGGGCTCCCAGCCTCGGAGCCAGCCGCCTTGGGCACCAGGGCGGCACGTGAGTCAGGACGCTGGGGCCACCGCTGAGCCTCCCCTCTCAACATCCGACACGATGGCCACATTCTCCTTGGATGCAGAAGGAGAAGAGACCGCTCTCCACACGGAGAGATCGTGGTGGGTGCGGGCACCGGTTCCACTGCAGCCGACAGAACCTCAGAGGACGCCCAGGTCCAGGCGCAGCAGGAAACTTCTCCAGGGCCACAGCTCAGCACAGCTGACTGAACCACTATGTTCTGCTTTGTAACACTGCTGATTGGCGCTAGTCTTACTCTACATGAGCTCAGTATTCCATAAATAAGAGTAGGAAACTTAAGAAATACAAGCGCAAGTTCCCCGAGTTTCTCCCTGCTACAAAAAAAAAAAAAAGAAAGAGAAAAAGATGGCTAATATCATAGAACAAAGTCATCTTCATTCACAAAACAGAGACAGAGATGATGTGCAATCGATATTTCCAAATAATTTAAAAGAACTTTTAAAAACTTGTAACAAGATATTTAATTTCCCTTTGAAAATAATTTTTTTTTTTTTGGTTTTTCATTTTTTGAGACAGGGTCTGACTATGTAGTTGAGACTGACCTGGAACTCACTATGTAGCCTAGGCTGGTCTCGAACTCACAGTGATCCTCCTGCCTCAGCCTCCCGAGTACTGGGATTATAGGCCTGAGCCACCACGCCCAGCTAAGAATTTTAAAGAACTGTATCATACAGACGGTTCCTCCTCTCTGCCTTCTTCTTTCCTCCACCCGTCTTTCATCCCAGGCATCTGTATGTTTGTCACTGAAAATCTGGGTAGTCGGCATTCTGATTAGGTGAGAGGGTTAGATAAAGGTGCACACTACCTTAAACTGGAGTTCGGTTTTGTTGTCAGCAATTCGTAAGGCTGATAACTATAATTTTATGTTCACAAAGAGTGAGCCTACTAAGCAAATTACCAGACTAAACGGCTGGCTGTCACCCTTAGGAGAATAAACAAGTAAGAGCTTTCACAGAATTAGACTGAATAATCATTACATCCTGCGGCTATAAACCCAGCTGAACGTGCACATTCAACAGAAAGACTAACATTTTCAAAGTTGTCTTCCTGCTTCTGAACATGTCAGAACAAATTAATCTGAAAAGTTAATCCCACTTAATGCAGCACTCTCGTTCCCTCTATTCCAGTTACTCCTCAGTTCACTCTGTGAAGCTCATGGAAGTACAGCTTCGAAGAGGAGCACGGAAATGCAGCAACTGCAGACATTCTACAGAGCAGAGGCTGCCTGCCTGCAGCCCGCCATTCCTGCTGCCACAATGGGCACCAGGGAGCTGTGAGCTGGTGCTTTCGGGCTGGAATGCAGCCTAGGAGCTGAGCTGGGGGACCTCACTCACTTTCGAGGTCAGTGTTCCAAACAGACACCCCAAGACCTGCAGTCTTTTTGGCCACCATAGTCAGCACAAAACAAGGGCCCCGATGCACTATGGGACAGAGCTCCCTTGTTAGCCTCAGGGTGAGGAATCAGGGCCAGCCCCTCAGAGCCCATGACACGGCTAGCGGGAGCGCCAGAGGACATGTCACTTACATGGCTTGGCATTAGCAGACACAGCCAGGCTCTCGGGTGGGTACGCAGCAGGGTGCCGGCTGTGCTCCCCTATGCCGGGGCCATTGCCGTACTCGATCACCTCCACATGGCTCAGGGGAACACTCCACTTGAGCAGGTACCGCTGGCTAGCTCCCGCGTGGCTCTCCTGTGAGGGGCTGAAACCACCCAATTGTTACTTCTTAAACGGAAACATGACCGTGTCATGGCACTGTAGAAATTCTCCAACCCTGGCATCCCAAGAATGGTCACATGACCATGTCATGATGCTGCAGGGATAAACTCTGATCCTTGAATCACGTGAATGGTCACGTGACCATGTCATAACACTGATCAGACTTCCTTCCTTCTGGACAGCTGTGGCTGGCTTGGTCTTGGGAACCCCATTGAAGGGAGAGTGAAACCCTTTCCATGAGGACGCAGTGGCCACTTCCTGGGTGGTTGGCTGTTCCTGTGGCAGATGGAAGGGAAAGTGCCGAGACACACACTCTCGGGTAACCTTGCCATGGAAGCTCAGGTGTCTAGGAAACAGGACTAATGGGAAAAGCAATTTCCCTGGTGGAGACCCTGCTTGTTGCACAGGCATTAACCCAAAGTTGCTTCCATACTCCACGTGGTTGGTTATGTTATCACGTTTGGGACAGAACTAAGTCACCATACTTCATGATTAAAGTACTTATTGAAAATATGAGAAAACATGATCTAAGTACTTTCTCCTTCTACATGACATGGAACACATATACACATCTCCGAAGCAAGATGCCACCAGCTTATTTCTGTACCAGGTGTGCCCGCGAGGATGCGGCCAGGTACCGGGATCACCACCATCACCAGTGTTCTCGTGGTCACTGCTCCTACTTTACAGGCTGGGAGCCTGTGGCCGACAGAGAAGGTGGTTTTCAAAACTAGTTTTAAAACAGTAGAATTGGACTTCTGGTAAAGAGTCCATGTGCGCCTCCTCTCTGCTGGGCCTCTGTGGCAGGGACACGAAGATCACAGCATGGGGGACACATGACTAGCACAGCACTAGCGAGCTCTCCCAGGCTCTGGGAGCAGAGGGTCCAGCAGTGGTGTCACCCGTTTCCTCGTGCTAAGACTCCCACCAGACCGGCTCAGGCTACCAAACAGGTCTGGCCCTGACCCCAGAGCGTGACAAGGGGCCGCACACCAGCGTGGTGCTCGGTGGGCACTGACAGCATCAGCTCTCGCCTTGAGTCAGCCCATCCTCCACCTCCAAGACTCAGAGCTCAGCTTACTGCAGTGTTCCACACACTGGAGCGCAACCCAAGGGGCACCTGTTCTGAGGGGAGGCCGTCTTCTCAGTTTACACCACGTCCTGGAAAATGCATGCGCTGAGAAGCAGCTGACAGGACTTGCCAGAGCCACCCCAGCAGGACGTTCAGGAGGGCGCAGGAACCTGAAGAGCAGGGTCACACAGTCCCACCGCAGGGGCCTGGTGACCCGTGTGCCCCAGGAGCTGGCCCTGAGCTCTCAGTCTCCCGTCAGGACACGGTGGCTCAGCCTGAGTGAGGCTGTTCAGTCCTGTCACACACGTGCTTGCACACACACGTGCGTGCACACGCTTGCAGCCACAGCTCTTACCGGGAGCTGACAGTGGCGCACACAAGCACGTCGTTCAGCATGAGCAGCCGGCGCTCCTTGGTCTTGGTGACCTCACCCCGCTCATTGTACACCGTCTCCACCACGTCGTCAGAGCGGACCAGGTACCGGTTCCCGCTGCTGAGGAGCTGAGCACGCGGAACATAGCAGTTACAGCTGCGCCCACCCAAACCGTGCACCCACCCAAGCCGTGCACCCAGAGGCGGTTTGCAGCAGCAGCAGGTAACCCGTGTCCTCCTGCCAGTCCTCAGGGTTCTGAACCTTTGCTTTTTTTTTTTTTTTTT